ATCTACATCCCTTCCAAATTTCAGAATTTTTCAATGTTTATTTCAAAAGTTATGGCCTTAAATGTGGTAGAATTATAGAAAAATGGCTCTTTTTTGCAGTTAACTCTAAAAATTTACCAATAACTTTAAAAATTGCAAACCAAAAATTTTGAAATTTTTTGAGAGGTTAGAAAATACTTTTAAAAAAATTTTTAGCAGTAAAAAGTTCAATAACTTTTTTAAAATAAATTATAGCACGCTGTAATGATTGTAGGGCGATCCACCCTTCAAATATCTATTTCGGAGGGTTATTTTATAATTGTAAAAATATTATCATTGTAAATATACATTTATTTATTTATGTAAATATACCTACATATATTTAATATCAATTTTGTAATATTCCAAAAATAAATTTTTATTTAAAATATATTTTCCCCCTTTTTTTATTTTTATGAACCTCTAAATAAATTTTATTATTGAATGTAGTACATAATATTTTTTTGTAAATTATTAAATTTGTATTTTAAACTTATTTGTGTTTTAAAAAATGGTAAATCTTCCAATTAGTCCAAAAACTAGTAAAATTTTGTGTATTAGGTTTATTTTTTAAAAATTTAAAAAATTATAACTGTAAATAATGATTGCTGGGTAATTTAATTTACCATTTACCTTCCGGTACGAAAACTTGCACATGAACTAACCGTGACCGGTGATTTTTAAAAATAAAAATATTCAACTATTTTTATAGAAGAAATGAGAGAAGTGAAGAGAAGATGAAGACGAATAAAAATTTGAAAAAACAAAAAAATTGTAAATATGTAGACATGTTTCGGCGCAGCAGTCGTTACGGCGCGGGCTTGAATAAAATTTTCCATAGACAACCTAAAATTTTAAAATTTTGCAGGAATATGGAGAATATTCTGATCTACTTTGGTTGCAAATTTCAGAATTTTTCAACATTTATTTCAAAAGTTGTGGGTTTAAATGTCGTAGAATTATAGAAAAATGTCCTTTTTAGGGGGTTTTCGGTCAAAACTCTAAAAATTTCAAATAAAAAATTCTGAAATTTTTAGAGGGGTTAGAAAACATTTTTTAAAAATTTTTTAGTAAAATTTAGAGCAACAATATCTGTTAATCTTTTAAAAATAAATTATAGTGCGCCGAAATAATGTCAGATTTTAAACACCTTTAGCTGGCCCTGTTGTTAACTGTATAACTATTTAACAACAAATTTTTCAATATTCCTTAAAAAATTTGTTATTAAAATTTTTTCCAATTTTTTATTTTTCTGGAACCCCTAAATAAATTTATTTTTAAATTAAAAAAATTTTTTTTTATTATTAAATTTATTAATATTTTTTAAAAATTAACGTAAATCTTCCAGTTAGTTAAATAATGAAAAATACGTATTTACATAGTTTTAAAATTTCTTTTTTTTCTTTTTTTAAATTAAAAAGAGAGATACCAAAAATAATTAGAAAATAGATCAAAGGTTATAAAATAAAATTTAAAATTGTTTAGAAAAAAAATTTTTTTTGTTTACACGCTTAGTGGGGAAAGGGAGGGGGGCAATCAAGCTACCTATTTTACTCATTATTTTGTGTTTGTTTTAGAAAGGCTTTGGGGATATATGGGTAAGAATATAGTTTGAATTAATCTAAGCCTATAGTTTGTGTATTATTTGGAAAACTTTTAAAGAAAAAAAATTTTTTTGGGAGGAGATGAGTGGATAGAAAATAAAGCAAGAGGGAAGGGTCACATGAAGGGAGCATGCAAATAGAAAAAAAGTTGAACCAAGAGAAAAATAGGTAGATGTTTGTAGTTTGTTTTTGTGTTTTTACAATATAGAAAATATGGAAGGCCTTGATCCACTCTCGATTTTGGTGCAAATTTAAAAAAAAATTTTTTTTCTTCTAAAAATTTTTTCATTGAAAAATAAATTATTTTCTCTCCAAAGAAAAATTTTTCCCTCCTAAAAAATTTTTTTCTAAAAAATTTTTTCTAGAAAAAAATTTTTTTTCTAGAAAAAGGGAGTGTATTAAAATACCTTATTAGAAGGCAAAAACACGTTTTATTTTTAAATCAGTTGTACAAATAGGTAATTTTATACCGAAGAGTAGGCGTGTTGTTGGTATGGGAGGGGGGACATAAATATAAGTAAGTTTGTGTTGCGAAGGTAAATATAATTATTTATAAGTAAGTTTGTGTTGCGAAGGTAAATATAATTATTTTATTTGAAAAAAAAAATTTTTATTTAATTTTTAATTTATTTAAATCTCTTCTAAATTATATTCTAAACTTTATTTAATTTAAATATAAAAATGCTGGCAAATATTAACTAGAAAATGAGTGGTACTAGGTGGATTGAGGAGCATTAAGGAGCAAGCCTTTCTCAAGGAGCAAGCCCTTGCTCCTTTGCTTTTGCTCCTCAAGGAGCGAGAGCGTTACACCAAAATTCACAAAATTATTTTTAACGACTCTCGTTATTAGCGACTTCCTGAATTAGATTTTTTATTTAGTTCAGAGTGTCGCTTATATAGAGAGTAAACCTCTCTATTAGAGATTAACCAAAATTTGTTTCATTCCATGAATTCTGGTTGGCCACAGATATGGGGAAGCTCCCTAAAATATACCCTCTATTTATGTACACCTCATTATAAGAGACTAATTTTTCCAGTTTCGAGAGAGATACAGCCCAATACGGCGCGCGGCCAAAATGGCGCAAGGCCATAACTAGCTAAAAAATTTCTGGCCCTTATCAACTTTGGAATCAATCTCTTTATCTCGATAAGTGGAGTTGTTTAATACTAAATTTGGTAAGAATCGGAAATTTTGAAGCAAGTTATGGCTTTGCGCCGTAATGGCTGCGCGCCGTAATGGGCGTGCTCCTTCGAGAGTCTATCTGGGGTGATTTTATATAATAAAAAAAATGGAAAAATCCAAATAAATATATTTAATCTTTAAACAATAAAAGACATGTATAGCGAATAAATTCAAAGATTAAAAATGTATGGAGATTAAAAAAAATTATTTTTAGTTCACTAATTATTAAAAAATTATTTTTAAAAATATTCGAAACAATTTTCAAAAATAATTTAAAAATCACGTGTTCCTTAAAATAAATTTTTTAACTAAATTTATTTAAAATAATTTTGAAAAAGTTCGATAATTCCCCCACACGCATCATTATCTTTTTTCTAAAATAATTTTTTTTATTGTTCTGTCTCTCTTCTTTTTGCCTTATATTTCTCTTTTCTCTCCTCTGTTGATTTATGTTTTATTGTTTGTTTTCTCTATTTTTTAATTCAACTTTTTTTAAATTTGAGTAATTTTAAAAATCTTTTTTGTTAAAAATTGTCGTCTTTATTTGAGTTGGTTAACATTTGAAAAAAAATTTTTTTAAACGAGTCCTTCAAAAATTAAAAAAATTATTTATTTATTTTTTGCTTAAAATACCTCACGTTTTTTGAAATTTCCTGGTAAACAAACATTCTAATTTTTTTATTTTTTTATTTTGTAAAATAGAGAATTAAATTGGCTACAAAATACAATTTTAATTAAAATTTTAGATCAAAGAGAAAAATAGTTATGTGGAAATAAGTGACATTTTTAGTTAAAATTGAGGTATTCTGTTAGTTTTTTGGCCACAACTTTTTTTTCATTCAATCAAAATTTTTGCTTCAACTATCATTTTGAAGCTATTTTAATTCTCTATCAGCTGATATGAAATTCGTCTAGACAGGTTTAGTATTCGCTGAGTTATAGGGGTAGAAGCAGCTAAGGTACGCGTACCCAGACACATTCCTTATTTAATTTCTTGAAATTTTTTCAAAAAGACATTTTCTATTTAATTTTTTCTATTCAAAAAATTCCTTAATATGTCTAATAAAATTTAAAAAATTAATAAAAAATAAAAACTTTTTTATTAACATTTTTTTAAATAAATAAGTGACATTTTTAGTTGAAATTGAAGATTTCTGTTAGTTTTTTGGCCACAACTTTTTTTCTATTTGATCAAAATTTTTGCTTTAGATACCATTTTGAAGCTATTTTAATTCTCTATCAGCTGATATTAAATTTGTCTAGACAGGTTTAGTATTCGCTGAGTTATGGGGGTAGAAGCATCGAAGGTACGCGTACCCAGACTTATTCCTTATTTAATTCATTTCTTAAAATTTTTTCGAAAGGACATTTTTTATTTAATTTTTTATATTCATAAAATTCCTTAATATGTCTAATAAAATAAAAAAATAAATAAATAAAATAAAAAAATTTATTAATATTAAAGTCACACTCTTACTAAGCATTATACCTCTACCCAGGTATTTTACAATGTTTGCCAATTTTAATAAAAAAAATTCTTTTTGCTTATCTATTATTTGTTCAATAATCTTTCTTTTTATTTAAAAACTTTCAATGTAAATATAAAAAAAATTTTTATTTGAAAAAAAATTTATTTTTTGAATTTATTTTATTAAGCGAATAGAGGAATTTTTTAATTATATTAAATTCTTCCATTCACTGATAATTTAATAAAATATTTTATTTTCCTTTTCTTTTGTTCAATTAACAAAGATAATTAACAGGAATAATAACCTTTAAACTAACCAATTTTATTTTATTTTGGTGGTTGGGACAAAATGCCATTTAAATTGAAAATTAGTCTAAATTTTTTCTTTGCTTTATAAGGTATAGAGGCCGGAATCTCGAGGAATTCGCGATCTCAAAAAAATCTCGATAACGATAGCCGAGATTTTTGATAAAGATCTTGTCTGTGTCCGATCATTAATAAGATCAAAAGAGGAGCTCTCCTCTCCCTGTGACCATCCCTTCATGAGTTGTAGGGTCGTGATTAAACTAAGCAGGAACTGAACTGCTCCGTGTTTTATAAATTAAAAATAATTTAAAAAATAAAACAATACTTTTAAAAAAATAAAAATAATTTTAAAAATAAAATAATAATTTTAAAAATAAAATAATAATTTTTCTTTTAATTTTAAGGTATTTAATAAATTTCCATGCTTAAATTTCAAAAAATTAAAATTAAAAATAATGAAAAATATTTAAAATTAATTTTATTAAATTTTCTTTTATTTTTCCTCCCCTCCTCCTTTGGTCAAGATATTAAATGTGATTTTGAATCTTTAAATATTAATGAAGATGAATTAGTCCATACTTGCGATAAAACCAATGCCCCTGGGAATTATTTTATTTATTGTAGTGGAAGGATTATTCAGGTAAACTGTAATTTAAGCTTTCCGGTTTTAATAATATAATATCTGTATTTTCCGGAATGAATATTTTTAATACTTTTCCGGTTAGTGTAATATAAATTACAACCGGAAAGAAATAATTATATCTTCCGGTTGTATTTATCTTTCCGGTTATAATAATAGGTACTTGTATTTTCCGGAAAAAATAATATACAATGACAACCGGAAAGAAATAATTATAATTTAACCGGAATGAAATACTTATTTAAAAGTGTTTTCCGGTTGTAATTTTTATTAATTACACTTTTCCGGTTGCAAAAATAATTTCTAATGAGTATTTTCCGGTTGGAATAGTAATTATTCTTTTCCGGTTTTAATGGTATTTTTCCGGTTATAATAAGTATTTTTCGGTTGGAATAGTAATATGTATTATTATTTCCGGGTGTACATTATTGTATTTCCGGAAGGAAAATACAATGTCTTTTTTACATCCCCGTTAAGGACTTTGCATTAAAAAAATTTTAAAAAAAATGGATTAAATTAAGGCCGTCAATTACCATCAATTACTAGTTGGAAATGATTCAAAATATTTTGTTGACCAACCAACAAAATTAGAAGCTTCTGTAGTACAACAAAAATTTGACGAATTGTTTCCGAAGAGTATTAAAGTAAAAGACATGGATAGAGACAAATTACAAAATTTTATGAATGAATATTTTGATGATCCTATGTCGAATACTACAGCTTTGCAAAGGTTGGGAGGAGGAGTTGAATCGGAATTCCGATTTCCGACTTCCAATTTCCGATTCCCGACAGAACTTTGTCATTTCCAATTCACCTCTGGTTGAGAGAGATAATAGAGAATAAATAAAGTCAGAACCTCCTTATAAGACAACTTAATATAAGAGACACACCTCTATTTAAGAGACATCCGTAAATAGAGACGTATCTATTGCGAATGGGCTACACAAGAGATGCCCTCTATTTAAGATAACCCCTGAAGACTATTCTAAATGGAGGTTTTTACCTTATATTGGGCGTATATTATATAGAGGTGGTAAAAATATGATTTTGCAAGTCATAAGAATATTTTAAAATATTCTGGAAATTTTTAAAAATATTTTTGCAATAATTAAAGTTGTAAAAACATAACAAACTTCCAACCAAAACCTCCAACATTGGCTGCAATAAAAGACGATAAGATGCGAGAATGGGCTTTTGAATTGAATGAAAGATGGAAGGAACTATGTATTCAAATTCCGGCTGATGTAATAATAATTTTTTTTAATTTTTGGAAAATTTTTTTTGAAAAATTCTTAAGAAATTCAAAAAAATTTTTCTTTTAATTTTTAAAAATTTTTCAAAAATTTTCAAAAAAAAATTTTGTTTTTTAAATTTTCAAAAAAAATTTTCAAAAAAAAAATTCAAAAATATTTTCAAAAATTTTTTTCAAAAAAATTTTTTTTTCAAAAATTTTTTAAAGAAATTTCAAAAAAAAATTTTTAAAAATTTTTTTCAAATAAATTTCAAAAAAAATCAAAAAAATTTTTTTAATTTTCAAAAAAATTTTTATTTTCAACCCCAAAATTATTTCCTTAAAGGCAAATAATCCAACACATAATTCCATCATCTACTTGCCCAATCCAAGTATTAGGCCAGGCAGTCGTTTTCGAGAAGTTTATTATTGGGATAGTTATTGGACTATTAAAGGATTGCTAGCTTCTGGTAATTTTTAACAAAAAAATTTTAAATTATTTTTAAAAAAGAATTGCCTGAACTTGTGAAAGGAATGCTGGAAAATTTTGTGGTGTTAATTAAAAATCATGGATTTATTAATAATGGGGGTAATTTTTATTCTGATATTTAATAAATTCTGATTTTTTTAAATTCTGATTTTCAAAAATTCTGATTTTCAAAATTCTGATTTTCAAAATTCTGATTTTAAAAATTCTGATTTTTAATAAAATTCTGATTTTAAAAATTCTGATTTTTAATAAAATTCTGATTTTAAAAATTCTGATTTTTAATAAAATTCTGATTTTTAAAATTCTGATTTTCAAAATTCTGATTTTCAAAAATTTTAATTTTCGAAATTCTGATTTTTTAAAATTATGTTTATCAAAAATTCTGATTTTAAAAATTCTGATTTTTAATAAAATTCTGATTTTTAAAATTCTGATTTTCAAAATTCTGATTTTCAAAAATTTTAATTTTCGAAATTCTGATTTTTTAAAATTATGTTTATCAAAAATTCTGATTTTAAGAATTCTGATTTTTAATAAAATTCTGATTTTTAAAATTCTGATTTTCAAAATTCTGATTTTCAAAAATTTTAATTTTCGAAATTCTGATTTTTTAAAATTATGTTTATCAAAAATTCTGATTTTAAGAATTCTGATTTTTAAAAACCCTGATTTTTGGAATTCTGATTTTCAGAAATCCAGAAAATCGAAATCGAAAAAAAAAATTTTAATTATTTTAATTAACAGGTCGTATTTAATACAATATGCGTTCACAACCCCCATTTTTCACACCAATGGTAAACGAATATTACAAATATACAAAAGACAAGGAATTTCTGAATGAGATAATTCCTATGATGGAGAAGGTATTAAAAAAATAAAAATTTTGATTTATCCTTTATTTCTGATTTGATATAATTAAAATTCTGAATTATGTATATTTTAATTAAATTCTGATTTTAAAGGCAGAATTATTGTTTTTAATAAATCAGAATTATTATGTAAAAATTCTGATTTTGGAAATTCTTATTTCAAAAATTCTGATTTTTATAAATTCTGGTTTCTAAAATTCTGATTTCAAAAATTCTGATTTTGGAAATTCTGATTTCAAAAATTCTGATTTTGGAAATTCTGTTTTTATAAATTCTGATTTTGGAAATTCTTATTCCTAAAATTCTGATTTTTATAAATTCTGGTTTCTAAAATTCTGATTTCAAAAATTCTGATTTTGGAAATTCTGATTTCAAAAATTCTGATTTTGGAAATTCTGTTTTTATAAATTCTGATTTTGGAAATTCTTATTTCAAAAATTCTGATTTTTATAAATTCTGGTTTCTAAAATTCTGATTTTAAAAATTCTGATAATTTAAAAATTCTCATTTCATAAATTTCTGATTTTTGTAAATTCTGATTTCAAAAATTCTGATTTTTAAAAAATCATAATTCTCAGCATAAAGATCAGAATTATTAAATTCTGATTTTATATTAAATCAAAAATTCTGATAATATAATTTAGGAGTTAGAATTTTGGACAGTCAATCGTTCAGTAGAGTTCAAAAAAGGCTGTAGAAATTATACAATGTATCAATACAGAACTGAAAGTACCGTTCCGAGACCAGAATCTTTTTGCGCAGACGTTATAACAGCAATTAATAGCAAAGAGGCAAATAAAGCAAAACTTTGGCAGAATTTGGCATCGGCAGCGGAATCGGGGATGGATTTTAGCTGTAAGCTGGGGGAGGGGAAATTTATTCTGAAATTTGTTCTGATTCTATCAGAAATATTCTGAAATTTGTTCTGATTCTATCAGAAATATTCTGAAATTTGTTCTGATTTTATCAGAAATGTTCTGAAATTTGTTCTGATTCTATCAGAAATATTCTGAAATTTGTTCTGATTCTATCAGAAATATTCTGAAATCTGTTCTGATTCTATCAGAAATGTTCTGAAATTTATTCTGAAATTTTTTCTGATTTTTCAGAAATGTTCTGATTTTATTCTGGTAATTTTCAGAATAAGATAAAAATCAGAACTTATTCTGATATATCTTTTATATATACCTATATTATATAGCTCGATGGATGCGCAACCCTGAACAGCCCAAATTGGAGGAAATAATTACAACATCAATAGTTCCATACGATTTAAATGCTTTTATTTGTGGGAACTATCGAATCCTTTCAGAATTATTTGCTGCTTTGGGTCTGATTTTATTTTAAAAAATAATTCTGATTTTTAAAAAATTCTGATATTTTTGTAATTCTGATTAAATTCTGGTTTTTAAAAAATAATTCTGATTTAAAAAATTCTGATTCTGATAAATTCTGGTTTTTAAAAAATAATTCTGATTTTTAAAAATTCTGATTCTGATTAAATTCTGGTTTTTAAAAAATAATTCTGATTTTTAAAAATTCTGATTCTGATTAAATTCTGGTTTTTAAAAAATTCTGATTTAATTCTGATTTTCTTTAAATTCTGATTATGAGTAAATTCTGATTTTTCAAAAAAAAGTTCTGATTTTCAAAAAATTCTGATTTCTCAGAAAATTCTGATTCGGATTTATTTCTTAAATAATTCTGATTTTCCAGGAAAAAAGAAAAAGGCTAACCATTACAAAAAGCTTTATTTAAAACTGCGCGCAGACTTTAGAAACGTTTTTCTTTACGATAAAGAAGAAAATAAATATGGCTGGTAATTATAAAATAATTAAAAAAAATTATTTTTAACTCCTTCTTGAAGGTATGATTATAATTTGGAAACAAAAGAAAATAATATTCATTTTTATTCAACTATGGCCATTCCTCTCTTCACTCAATGTTATGACACTTCAGAAAAACCTAGTGTCGCTGAACGAATTTATAATACAATGAAAAATTATGGGGCATTTGAAAAGGCTAAAGGGGCAGAAGATTATTATGGAGTCCAAGTCAGGTGGGGTTCTTGAAAAAAATTTTTCGAAGTAAAAGACAGTGAATGGGTCTGATTCCTTAAAAAAATTCTGATTTTTTCTGAAAATTCTGATTTTTTCTGAAAATTCTGGTTCTAAAAAATTCTGATTTTTCTGAAAATTCTGATTTTTTCTGAAAATTCTGGTTCCAAAAAATTCTGATTTTTTCTGAAAATTTTGATTCTTTCTGAAAATTCTGGTTCTAATAAATTCTGATTTTTCTGAAAATTCTGGCTTTTTCTGAAATTCTAATTTTTTCTGAAAATTCTGGTTCTAAAAATTCTGATTTTTTCTGAAAATTCTGATTTTTTCTGAAAATTCTGGTTCTAAAAAATTCTGATTTTTTCTGAAAATTCTGGTTCTAAAAAATTCTGATTTTTCTGAAAATTCTGATTTTTTCTGAAAATTCTGGTTCTAAAAAATTCTGATTTTTTCTGAAAATTTTGATTCTTTCTGAAAATTCTGGTTCTAATAAATTCTGATTTTTCTGAAAATTCTGGCTTTTTCTGAAATTCTAATTTTTTCTGAAAATTCTGGTTCTAAAAATTCTGATTTTTTCTGAAAATTCTGATTTTTTCTGAAAATTCTGGTTCTAAAAAATTCTGATTTTTTCTGAAAATTCTGGTTCTAAAAAATTCTGAGTTTTTCTGAAAATTCTGATTTTTTTCTGAAAATTCTGGTTCTAAAAAATTCTGATTTTTCTGTAAATTCTGATTTTTTCTGAAAATTCTGGTTCTAAAAATTCCGATTTTTCTGAAAATTCTGATTTTTTCTGAAAATTCTGATTCTAAAAAATTCTGATTTTTTCTGAAAATTCTGATTCTAAACAATTCTGATTTTTTCTAAAAATTCTCATAGTCTCCAATGGGCACACAAACTGAATTAGTGTCAAATTATTTTTTAAAAATTAAAAAAAATTATTTTTTAGTACTGTAGACAGCGGCCTACAATGGGATGCTCATAACATATGGCCGGTAAATAAATTTTTAAAAATTAAAAAAATTTTTTACTTAATATATAATATTTTATTTAGAATCACGAACATATGGTAGTTCTTGGATTGTTCAATTCTGGCAAGGAAAAGTTTGTTGGAATTTGAAAAAAAAAAATTTACAAATTTTTTAAAGTCTTAAACAGGAAGCTTTATATTTGGCTAAGAAATGGATTATAGCAAATTACCGTTTATATTCCCAATGTATCGAAAAACCAATGTGGGAAAAATTGTCGGCTACGGGTACATATGGAATGGGTGGTGAATATGTACCTCAGGTGATTAAAAATTTAATTTTAAATTAATAAAATTGCGGACAAATTAATATTTGCGGACAAAAAATATTTTTGCGGACAGACATTTGCGGACAAAAAATATTTGCGGACAAAAATATTTTTGCGGACAGACATTTGCGGACAATAAATATTTGCGGACAAAAATATTTTTGCGGACAGACATTTGCGGACAAAATATTTTTGCGGACAGACATTTGCGGACAAAAAATATTTGCGGACAAAAATATTTTTGCGGACAGACATTTGCGGACAATAAATATTTGCGGACGGAAAATATTTGCGGACAAGATTTGCGGACAAAAAAATTTTTTGCGGACAACTATGCGGACAAATAAATTTGCGGACAAAAAAATATTTGCGGACAAATAAATTTACGGACATTATATTTGCGGACAGAAATTTGCGGACAGATATTTGCGGACAAAAAAAATTTGGGGGCAAAAATATTTTTGCGGACAGACATTTGCGGACAAAAAATATATTTGCGGACAATATTAAAAAAATATCTATTTAAAAATTTCAGCTCGGCTTTGGTTGGTCTATTGGCACCGTAATGGATTTCCTTCAAATATTTAATGATAACATAAAATTTAATTCAACTGAATTGCCAAATGTAACACCAAAGAAGTGTTTTTAAAAATAAGAGAATGATGTGGGGGAAAATAATTCTTTTTATTAAATAATTTTTTTTAAATTACCTTTGGCTTTAATTAATCTGTGATACGAGGTGTGGAAATTTATTTAATTCTCGGTGTGAATTTTTAAATTAATTTTCTTTTTTTTTAATTGTGTGGGTATTTAATACATATGGTGGTATAAATGTATAAATGATATTTCTAAACTTTGATGTTGTCACCTTTGGCTTTAATTATTCTGTGATACGAGGTGTGGAAAAAATTTGCGGACATAAAATATTTGCGGACAACCACTTGCAAAACAAGGGTGTCCCGGGGTTTGATGTTGTTACCTATTATTTGCGGACAAAGATATCGCGGAAAGCTACTTGCAAAACAGGGATGGCAGGGGTATCCGACGCCTGATCCAAGAAATCTTCCAAACTCCGATCCCAGTTAATTTAATATATTAAACTAAATTTAAATAAAATAAAAACTAAACAAAAACTAATCATTTATATATCGTAACAATTAAAATAAATTTAAATATTTAAAAAAACGAAAATGCAATTTTATAATATACTTTTAAGACAATAAATTACACGAAATAACAAATAAGTATTTAAAAGATAGGCTTGTAATAGGTAAGAAAATCTATTTAAATTTGGATAGGAACCAAGAGGACGTATCGGGTTATCCGATACCTGAAAGTCGATACCCGGACAATAAGGTTGTCGGATCCGAAAAAGACTGGATATCCGAAGATTTCCAACTATCCGATAATCTTACCGGACTTGTGTCCGCACTTGCAGAAAGAACATAAATGAAAATAAATAACCCAGCATTGGGTTGGATGGTGGCACAGTCGGTTGTGCTTTCGGTTTGGGCCCTTTCCGTTATTGTTCAATTCCATCTCCCGTCCACAATTTTTCCACAGCATGAACATCGGACATGACACTATCCAAGCTCTAGTAACAAAAATAATTTTTAAAATTGGGATAGGAACCAAGAGGAGGGACAGAGTTAACTGATACCTGAAAGTCGATACCCGGACAATTCTTCTATCCAAAATTCTACCCAACCTTTTTTTTCTCTACTCGGCCATCCCTCATAGATGAACTAGAGGTTTAGCCGACGATACTATTCCCCAAAATCAGAAATTGAAAATGCGCTAGGTAATTCTCTAAATTTCCGAAGAAATCAAAGAATCTAAAGTATCATTTTTATCCGAAATAATTTTTAGTTTTTTATCAATAAGGTGGCCTAACCGAGAAAATTCCAGACATTTTGCATCTTAAAATGAAAAAAAATTTTGGCCATTGCGCTAAAAACCCCCCAAAATTATTTATTAAATTTTTTCTCTCCAAACTTTAACTCTATTATAAGCCTATTAAAAAATTTTTTTTGAAAAATATTTTTTTGGGGATTAAAGAGGGAGAGAGGGAGGGATATGAGGCATTTAAAGTGTTTTACATATAATATTTTTCTAAAATTAAATTATTTCTCTTTTTAAAAAAATCAAGCTGGAGTCTGGGATTTTGCTTTTGAACCACCACGCTTACGTCCAACAGTAGTTCCTTTTACTATTAAACGATTACGGTTATTATGCTCGACATTGTCTTCCTCCTTAATTAAAAAGAAAATTTTTTTTTGAAAATTTTTCAAAAAATTTTTGGAAAATTTTTGAAAATTTTTTTAAAAAATTTTCGAAAAATTTTTTGAAAAATTTTTTTTAAATTTAAAAAAATTTTTTCGAAATTTTTTAAAAATTTTTTGAAAATTTTTTTTCGAAATTTTCGAAAATTTTTTTTCGAAATTTTCGAAAATTTTTGAAAATTTTTTTGAAAATTTTTAGAAAAAATTTCAAAAAATTTTACAAAAAATTTCAAGAATTTTTTCAAAAAAAAATTTTTCGAAAATTTTTTGAAATTTTTTTTTAATTTTTTACCATAGGCAAATTGAGAGAGGAAGAAGTTGTTGCTTGTGTTGAATTAAAACGAGTAGAATATAAAGAAACATAAATCCAAATTTGTTTTTGATAAAAAGGCATAAATTTTTTGACAGCTTGAATATATCGTGTATAAACACTTTTACCTTTTGTAGCTAGTGGAACGCTAGGCTAAATTAAAAAAAAATTAATTAAAAATTTTTATATTTATTTTATAATTTCCTCGTACGTTCAAAAAAGGGTTTAAAAACCAAGGAATGAGCTGACAAAAAAGTAAAATTCCCGATTCTCGGGAATCTGATTCGAGAATCGAATCACTCGTTCCCTGAAAAAACCATCTCTAAACCAGTCATTAAATGATTTTAGATCCAGTGGTCAACCCCAGTTTAGTCAAGGGAGGATTCTGTCTGTTCGTATTGACAGACAAAATCTTGCGTTTACGGGATCCCTCTAAAATTTAAAAAAAGAAAAGAAGGTCCAGAAAGGATTATAAAAGAGAGAAGGGTGAAGAGGGATCCTGTGTCTAAAGGTTGGCAAATCCAAATACACGGAACCGAAAAAACTGCCAGATATCCAAAAATCATACAATATCCCCACTAACCTTACACATTCCCATTTTTATTTTTTTCCCTTTCCCTTCGAAAAAAATATTTTAAAAAATTCACCGAATTAAAAGTAGAAAAATTCTGAAATAACAAATTCATATCATCCAAAAATTTGGCAACATTTGTATAAGATTTAAAATTAATTCTTTCCCCAATTAATTGTAGCCATATTGGGTGTTTAATAACAGAATGATAATCTGTTTCTGTTTGTGGTACTTGATTAACAAATAATTCTACTTGACTGTTGTCTTCAAAACAAGCCAAAAAGACTTTTGCACAGAGCTAAATAGACAAAAAAAAATTAAAAAAAAAAAGTTTTTTCTTATTAGATTTGAGGGAATATTTACTATTTAATTTTAAATTACGCTCCGAAAAAAAATTATTTTTATTTTCTAAATTTCAAGTTTTCAATTTTTTCGAGATGATAAGATCAGAAAATAATTTTTCAAAGTTGAGACTATATTCAAGGCAATATTAAGGTTAACAGAATATAAGAAGTGCGTCAATGACTTTAGGAACTTAAAATTTGACCTCAAGACATTTCTTGAGGTTATTACCAGTATTATTCAAACGCGATTTTTCGAGATCGAGATCGAGATTATCGAAAAATCTCGATATCGAAAAAATCTCGATTTTTCCAAAAATTGATCGAGACGAGATCGATAATCTCGAAAAAAATCTCGCGATATCTCGAAAAATATCGTCGATATATCGTCTCGTGAATAACACTAGTTATTACCCTTTTGAGATTTAGTAAGGATGCCCACATTATTTTTTGTTTTCTTAAAAAATTTTTTTGGTAGTGAACTTCGTTCAAATCTGTATAATAAGAGCTGTCGGTTATTGGAAAATCTAGAGATGTCCGGAAACGATACGGACTGAAAATCATTTGGTTATTCAAATAGGTTGACACTCAGTTAGGATTAGAGACAGGACCGAGACGAGATCTCGATCGAAAATCTTATCGAGATCGCGATTCTAGTACGACACTCCCAGCCCGGTCTCTAGTTAAAATACGAAATTTCTTTCAAAATATTCAAGCATTTTTTCCTCGTAAAAAATTGAATTCCTCACCAATTGTTCCCTATTACCAAATTCTTGAGTTTGAACAGTCAAAGGTTCGCATTCCACACAGACAGAACAACGCCAATCATCACTATAAAAAGAAAAAATTTTTAAAATTCAAAAAAAAATTTTTTTCTAACGGTAAATCCTCCATATAGCCCTTAATTCGTGGAACATGACAATGAGAATGAAAGACACGAGGACAAGATTCACAACAACCAAGAGATCCAGTAGTTTCATCACAACCTTGAGAACATACATAACAATAATCATCCCAAAAATCATCACTTGTAGCATTACGACTAGAAAAAAATTTTTTTTTTAATTTTGGAAAAGGTAAAAGAAAAAATATTTTTGACTATCGTATATCCTCAAAAAATTATTCTCAACCAGACTTGGTAATGGACATGAATTTTGGTATACGTATCTGGATAGTAATGGCGGATAAGGGCGGATATCCGGTAGTGATGCTCGGGAGAAGAAAAAACCCGGGATTCGGAAACGAGAGTCAGGTCAGGAAATGACGTCAGAAGTCAGGATCGGGAGGCAAAAAACTCGGGAGTCGGGATACCCGAGCATCAATAATGTCCGCAGGGATTTTCAAATTATCTGTATACATATCCGTATCCATTACAAAGTCTGCTCTCAACTACTATCCCTCTCTACAACCCCTAATAATTACACTCTTTAATACCCCCAATTTTCCTATAATAATTTAAAAAATATAGAAACCCCAAATTATTTTTATTAAGGGGTCTCATTGTAAAAAAAGTCCAAAAAAGATAAGATTGTTCGGGGTAAGTTTGTGTTTTATCGAAATTAGAGATCGGACTGGGAGAGTGTCGTATGTGGACCGCGGTTGATATCTCGAAAAATCTCAATCTCGATAACCGTGGTTTTTGTTAGAGAACCCGTCGTCTCCGGTCGGGCAAAGAAAAAAAAATCAAAAAGAATCCTCCTCGGTCCAGCCTCTAATTCAAACTTTGGAACAAAAAAAGGGAAATACAAAACCCTCCCTCTCTCGCCTGTTTGGGAGGAAAATTCAATTTCTACGACTCCTAATTTAAAAAAAAATTTAAACCTTAAAATAGATTTTAATTAATTTTTATGATGCATGTATATGTATTTCTAAATTTTATTTTAAAAAATTTTGATTATGAGACCCCTTTTATTGTTTTTTTATTTTTTTTTATAATAATACATCTTCATTATTTAACCTTTCTTCCGTTTTATTATTTCCAACATTTTCAGAATTTTTTCCTTCTGATTTTTTATTACTACTACAAGATGCTTCTTCATTATTATTACTAGGTAAAGGCTTATTTGTTGAAATTTTCCCAGTTTTTGAATTTATTGAAATTTTTTCATTCATTTTTTCTTGTTGAGTAGTAACCTAGAAAAAAGTATTTTCTAATTTATTTTTTAGTTAGACATCCTTTATAGCTACACCCTAGGGGATAAATAGTTAGGGTATTGAATCGGATCTTATAATAAGATCAATCTTAGAGGCCGCCGATGGCTTGCGATGGCAGTTTCGGACATCCCGAACAGAGAATATTCCGGATACCTGGAAATTAGAGTAGCACCCGTCTCCCGAAACCTCAACTAATTTTTGGCAAAAACCCAGACCCGAAACTTCCGCCCCCGAAGGCTTGGGGTGCACTGGAAATTATAGTTCCTATATTGAATATCCGGAGATAAGCTAGAAACCTCCAAATTTTAAAGGTGTGTCCTAACTTGGTGGTGTCTTTAACTTGGGGGTGTCTTACATATATGGTAATGAGGTTTACTATATTTTAAAAGAATTAATTTCCCCCCACCTCCTCAGCATTTTGTTCTTCCGGAGAACTAAATACACGCAAATCGAGGCTATTCGGAGTTTCTGATTTTCTCAAAGTTTTGAGTTTGCCTAATTTTTGTTCTTTATTCTCTTCTTTATTATTATCAAAATCTTCTCCTCCTCCTCCTTCCCCATTTTCTTCAGTTGTTGTAGTAATTAAATCGGCTGGAGGAGAAATATTTACAGGCCTTTTCTCTTCATTATTATTTAAATTTAAAATTTTATTATTATCAATTTCTTTAGCTAATCGCTTCTGTTTTTGTTGTTCCCCATCGTCAATATTAATTGATGCTGGTTTTCGTTTAGTACCAGAATTTGTATTTATTGGAGCGACAGTAGAAGGAGATTCAGTCGCTGAAATTAAACAGAAAATTCTGATTTAGAAATGTATTTTCTGTATTTTAGAGAAAATACAAAAAATTCTGATATAAAAAATTAAATCAGAATTTGAACTAGTAGAATTCTGATTTTTAATAATTCCAATTTAAATAGTAATTCTGATGTTTAATAATTCTGTTTTAAACTAATTCTGATATTACTATAAATATTAATTCTGTTTTTAATTAGAATTCTGATTTAAAAATTCTGATTTAAATAATTCTGATTTCTAAATAATTCTGATTTTTAAATAATTCTGATTTATAAATAATTCTGATTTCTAAAAATAATTCTGATTTTAATTAATTCTGTTTTTTAAATAATTCTGAAATAAAAATTCAGAATTTCTAGAAAAATCAGAATTTTAATTTACAACTTGTATTTTTCTTGTATTTTTTAAATAATTCTGATTTTAAATAAATAAAACACTAACAATTATTTCCAGCAAAAGAAACAGTAGAATCTGCAGCAACGCTTTGCGGTTTATTCTGACGTAAAGCTTTTAATAAATGGGGGCTATTATTATTATTCTGTTGTTGCTGTAATTGTTGTATAGCAGAATCTTGTTGTTGAAGCAAATTTAAATTATCATTAATTTTTTCAATTTTTTCAGAATTAATAATTATATCATTAGCTATAGGGACTGTTATTAGTCGATTTATTGAAGCTTCCAATTCTTGACAAGAAGAATTATTTTTATTTTGTTCTCCTCTTCCTTCATCATCTTCATCATCCAGTAAATCAACAATTTCTGGAATAGCTGAAGATGTTGATTGTTTATGGGAAATATGTGCCGGCAAATTCTCAAAATTTCTAGAGGTCTGTTGAGGCATAGTAGAAGCACTAGTCATTTCGACCAAATGCTCGAGGGGGGTTACACCAGAATTTGGATAATGTTGAGGGGGATGGTTATCGGTTGCAGAAGGGACAGAAGACAAATTTTGGCTTATAACAGAACTTGAAAAAAAAATTTTTTTTTCATAAAATAGGTAGTAATCGGAAGGAAAAAACTCACTCCACAAATTGTTGTGCAGCATTAAGTCGAGGATTTGGAATTCTAGATATAATTGGAGGTAGAGAACGGTCTTCTTGCCCACCATTATTATTACCAAGTTGTTGATTATGTGGAGAATCTAGGACATTAACAATGTGTTGTTGTGGTGGTTGTTGTTGAAATGGAGGAGACATAACTTGAGGGTGATACTAGAAAAAATTTAATTTTTATTCCCAAAATTCAAGGAATACAGGAGTCAAACTACAGCGCTAGAGCTGGAATCCTCTGAAAAACCGAAGACTCTAAAGCTGGAACTGGAGCACAAAAGTTAAAGCCCCCTTCCTCCTACTGAAAATGCTGCTCAAAAATAGGGTTGGGGCCCTATCCGGCCCGGTCCAAAAGATCGAGCGGGCATCGAATTTTGGCCTGAAGAAGACTCGGTCGGGTCGGCCCGATAGAAATGACTCGAACGTCGGCCCGACTCGAAAACCTCAGCCCTATTCAAAAAGACTAGTAATTAGCCGCCATTCTGAACCGAACAGAAGAACCAAGAATCTTCCTGTGCGATCTTCGTTTCGCTTCTGAATATTTGAAAATTTTCCCTCCAAAATAGCCTAGAAAAAAAATTTTTTTTTTCTTCTATTCACCTGTTGAGAAAGCATCAATTGTTGTTGCTGTAAATGAAGTCTTTGTGCTGTCATATAGTGCTGATGTTGTTGCATCTGTTGTTGTTGAATAATATGTGGTGGAGGTGGATGTTGGTGTTGTAGTTGTTGTTGAGTAAACATTGGTTGTTGTGAATTTTGACAAATATTTTGTTGTTGAATTTGATGGGGCATTGGACCAGCATGATTTTGTGTAATTTGTTGCATACGAAATTGTGGTGGTGGTGGTGGTTGTCTATGAGGAAGACAAGGTTGTTGTTGTTGAATGGAACGCTGTTGTTGTTGCTGTTGTTGCTGCTGTTGAAGTTGTTGTTGACCTATCTAAAATTATTATGATAAATTATAAGTCAGGTTTTATAAGCCGGATTCTACGAATGATAACAATTAGATATCGGTATAAGTCTGGTAATCTTTCGGTAACACCCACCATTTCCATCAGGGCCCTATTCCAGTTGTCCAAAGGTTCTGCGGACAATCGGAATGGGGCCCAGGTGTATATGGTATCATTATTATATAAATAATAGATAGTTCAAATCGGCTAATCAGGTTGAGTTGGATCCCCGTTTGACAAGAAGAATCAAATGGTATTATAATACGAGCTTCGAGCCCGGTCCTCATGTCCTAAAGTACATCCCTAAAAAATGCAGGCTGCTGAGAGAAAAATACCAACTTTACCTTAGAGAAAAAGCTGAGAGAAAAATACCAACTTTACCTCTATAACTAATATTTTTTAACTAAATCCTGTCTCGATCCGATCTCAAATTAGGATATATATGTAAGCCCCATAAGAATTCAGATTATTAATAAATCTCCCATCGTCTAGAATAAAAATTTATCTCCTCACATGTTGTTGTTGCTGCTGTTGTTGCAATACCATATTCTGTCTCATAATTTGCATTTGATCAGGTGGTCCATGCATAACGGGAGTTAGAGGCGTATTAGGTAAAGAAATAGGCGGCGAACCAACAACAGGTAAAGGGCAATTTATTGGAAGAAGTTGTGGAGGACGTTGAGGATGTTGCTGAGGGTGTTGTTGCTGTTGGGGTTGTTGCTGTGGGTGTTGTTGAGGGTGTTGTTGAACAAAACGTGAACCAGAAACATTTAAAGGTTGTTGTAATAATTGTGGAATAATTGGAGTTGGAGACGATACGGAAATATGATGAATTTCAGAATGATGTGGGTTTGGACCAATATTATGTTGTTGTGAAACGGGGTGATGGATTGATGTTGGAATTTGTTGAATATTAGGAGGAGGAGGAGATGATAAAGTCTAAGAAACAAAATATTGGAAAATATAGAAAGGATAGGAGGAGAAAAAATTGTTGGCCAAAACGTAAGAAATTTTTTTTGGAAATCATCATCGGGTTGGAAGGTAGCCCAGTCGATTAAGATACAGAATCGGACCCTTTTCCATGATAGTTCTTATTCCATCTCCTATCCAATAAATTTTTCCAAAGCAAGCAAGAGGGTTGGGGGATACAGACATACTGATTTTAAAAAAGTACCGACATGCAAAAATTTTCTGATCGAATATCTGATCCGGATATCTAAGGATTTACCATATTCCGTCAACCAAAGAACATAACAACTTAAACTTATATGACTGCTAAAAACCAAATAACATAAAAGACCCCTTGAAGGGTCTGTATGCCCCCATCCATCTGTTAAGGGGTGGGGGATGAAACGGGAGGTTAAAAAGTTTCAACTCTCGCTAAAAACCCCTGGATCCCCCAACCAAAGAACATAACAGATTAAACCCTATATACCAAAAATTTTAAAAAATTTTTGGAGAACCCGAAAAAATTAAGTGAACAAATTTAAAATTAAATTTGCCCTCAAAAACTGTGAAAAAAATTTCGTTTTTCAACCCACCATAATAATAGCTGATGGTGTAGAAATTCTTTGTGGTTGTTGTTGTAATGGGTGTTGTTGTATATTATTATTACTACCAGAAAAATTAACAGCATGTTGTTGTTGTTGTGAAGTTGAAGCATTTGAATGATTCGAAGTTGAACGTATAATTGGAGGGACATTTTGAGTTGGAGGAATGGGCCGTTTATTTTGTTGTTGGGTTGTTGGAGTATCTAATGAAGTATTTGAAGTGTTCGAATTGCTATTAGACTGGGTAAAACTATTTGAAATTGAAAACATATGAGCATTTTGTGGCGTTGTTTGTGCTGGGATCTAAATTTAATTTAACAATTTATTAAACCATTTAATTGGGCAAGCCTTTGTTCGTAGCTATAATAACCTGGAATCGGTTGGGTTAACCAAGACAAGATACCCAGACTTTTCTCGGACAGAAACCCGTGCCGAAAAAAGTTAGAAGAGACCCAACTCGACTTTTTTTCCTCAACCCGATACATCCCAAATATTGACAAAATGGGTGGGAATGAGATTGGCACCTCAATCTCTCTCTTCTTATGATCTGAAAGGTTTTACAGGAATAAGGTAGTAATTCCTTGGGAGTTATTCAATCCCTTATTGGTAGGGGATGGAAATTGTATCACGACTTTTGCGCCCAAATGATTTCTGATGTGCTGACTTTTCCGGAGTAGGATATTTGGATTAGTGTTAGGCACAGGTCGGTACTCCCGAAAATACTGAGTCGGTATTTTCCAGTACTCCCGCAACCGGAACCATCCCGGTGAAATTTTGGAAATTTTCGGTACCGCTCGGTATCGGGAAAATCCATTTGCCGAAACTAAGTTGGATCTGCTAACCCGGCATGATTTTCTGCCCTATGAGGGTGCACTATAGTAAGGTCCAGCTGTAGTTATTCACATATTTTTAACGTGGAACCATGGAAACCCATAATTCCTCGATTCCAACCCATAAAGAATATCCACACCCTCCCAAATAAATTTTTTTTATAAAAAATCCCCTTCTTTCTCACTTTAATTTCTCCATCCAAATTTAATAGACCAAAAGAACGTATTGCACTATACAACTCTTTTGTTGACCAACTTTGATAAGAAATTATTGGTGAACGTTCAAACTGTTCTAACGTATTTTTAGCTAAATCACGTCGTTTATTAACTTGAAATAAGGCACTTTGAGAAAACATTGAAGCAGACCACATTCCTGGATGGTCTTGTTGGACTGTTGTGAATAATGCTGATTGTGTGAAGCTTTCAATCTGAAAAGAAAAAAATAATATTTTTTTAATAATTCAGAATTTTTCTGTAACAACACCCAAGACTAATGCTAACGTAAGAAGGAAAATATTTGGAAAGGGGCATTACCAGGCTTAGTGTTAAAAACGTAAAATGATTTGGAAAAGGCAGTAACACCAGGCTTAACAACACCCCTCGGGATTGAATTGGGATTTTGCTTTTACAAGTATGAAAGTTATAATCCCAATACTTTGAGCAAGGTTCAACGTATCGCGCCGAGCTGAGACAACTGTTAATAAGATCAAACTATTATCATAGCCCAAGGGTAAAACCCTAAAGTATACTGGGGTAGGGAGAGATTATTATCCTCCAGGCACCCTTTCAAAGCCTGTCTCTTCCTAAAGAAGATTGCGGATAATTGGTAATCTTCTACTTCATTGGTCCACAAAAATCAACAAGAAATGATTTTTCGACATCCTTGAGGTTCATTTTTGAAATTTATTTTATTGAGGTTTATTTTCACATTTTTGAGGTTTATCAATAGGTAATCAAGTCTAAGCTTCGATTCGGATTCAGCACACTCGATTACCTACTGTAAACCTCAAAGATGTCGAAAAATCATTTCTTGTTTATTTTTTTCTAGGGACCAATGGAGTAGAAGATTCCCAGATAATTTTTTAAATTTGTCTCTAAATTTATTTTTCCCCCAAATTTAAATTCAATTCCCAAAAATTTTGTCTGATTTTTAAAAATTTGTTTCAGCAAAAATCGAGATCAGCTTCAACACTACCTTAGTTAATCTATCAAGCCAATGTTGCATTTCTTTTTCCAATTGACCACAATTTTTTAACTTTGTTTCTTCTGTCGAATCTATACACGTTACAATATCATTCCCCCTTCTAATAATTGCATTAACTAATTCAACAACTTCATTAGCTACAGCGGTACGTGCCTGGGTTGCTTGTATGCCTATTTGTTTTTTGTTGGTAGCTACTTTCTCTTTGAGACTTTCTATTTTTTCGGTATCTCGAATACTTTGACGTCTTAAATAAAAAAAAATTTTTTGAAGAATAAAGAGAAATTTCTAAAAATAATTTTGGGTTAGTAAAGAATCGAAGCCGGTGTTTAATATTTGGCATTTATTGGCTCTTTTAAAATCTTGGCCCAGGCTGCAGGGTTATCAAAATCTTAGCTTCGGCTCAGGAGCCATTCCCTGCACTTATCAAAGCTCGATAAATGTCCATTTGAGGACTGAATTAAACAAATGGAAAAATTAAGGGTTGACTCACCTCAAGGGGTGGAGGGTGGGAAGGTTAAACGTTGGGGGTTAAACTCGCTGAAACACTTATCCGAGCATGGTTGGGCCATGTGTTACTAGGAAGACAGTGTTATCGTGATTCGACTCATTTGTTCGATTAATTCATTTTTTAAATAATTTGCTTAAAGATCAAGAATAATCCTATAGCCTACGAATGATTTGAAAATAATTTTCAAATTAATCGAGTATCGGAGGCTTAGCAAGACCGATCTGTCTACAATAACCCTCCTTACTCTTAGAGACCCCCTTACGCCCTTATTTTTAGAAATAAGGTAATTTAAAAAAAAAATTAAAACAAAAAATTAAAAAATGAGAGACAAAATATCCCACACCCACCTAATAGTTTCCAACTCTGTTCTAGCCCTCTCAGCCAATTTTGTGTATGCAATGCGTTGTTCGTGCGGATGTTCAGTAGAGCCATCTGCGTGGTTGTTTAAACAATAGTCACATAGACGCTGAAATTTTTTTAAATTTTAGTTTCATAGTAAAATACGACATCATAACACAAACCCCTATGGCTGAAAAACACCTCTTATAATTTAAATAAAAGGGTATCGCTGGTCAACTACATCTACCCGGTGGCCAGCTAAAAAACGTAACTTAAATCAAGCTATAGGCAATTCCAATCGTGGCCCACCCCCTTCCCCAATTCTTTTTTCCTTAAAATGTACATAATGGTCAGACTATCTATCTCTCCCAATTTGAGTCAATTTCCCGGTGTCATATTCAAATAGGGACATTTTAAGGAAAAAGAATGGGAAGGAAAAAGAATGGGAATTTTAATTTACCGCCTGACAAGAACACAAATATGTTGCAAGGACGTTCGAATGTGATGTGCATTGGGAACGCAAAGGAATGGAAGGCTTCATCTAAAAAAGATTATAAATTAAATTGATACGAAAAACGAAGATAAAAGAAAATTTCAGAAAAAGTGGACATTTGGTCCCAATTTAACAAAAAAATTTTTAGAAGGGACATTTAGTCCCAATTTTTCAAAAAAAATTTTCAGAAGGGACATTTAGTCCCAATTTTTCAAAAAAACTTTTCAGAAGTGGACATTTGGTCCCAATTTTTCAAAAAAATTTTCACCACAGGCTCCAACTCATGTCCAGAATGATAATGAGGCTGTGAACAATGGGCACACAAATATCTATTCTCACAGCTTTTACAACGCCATTCCACTGGAGCTTTATTTTTAATATTACAGTGAAGGCAAAAACTGAAAAAAATTTTTTGGAAATTTGAAAAATTTTTTACATTTTTTCAATCTGATTTTCACTGTAATCATATAACACGTTTAAAAGAAAATGTTGATTGCACAGTTTGCAAGACACACGACTTTCAGCACCATGTTGAGGACGAGCAGTGGCAAGGACTTGGGCTGTAAAAAAAATTTTTTTTTGAAAATTTTTCGGAAAAATTTTTTTTGAAATTTTTAGGAAATTTTTTTTGGATTTTCCAACAAATTTTCAACTCGAGAAATTTCAAAAAAAATTTTCGAAAAATTTCGAAAAAAAATTTTTGGAATTTTTTTTTGAAAATTTTCGCAAAAATTTTTTAAAAATTTTTAAACTCGAGAAATTTCAAAAAAAATTTTTCGAAAAATTTCTAAAAAAATTTTCAAAAAAAATTTTCGAAAAATTTCTAAAAAATTTTTCAGAATTTTCTTAAAAATTTTTCGAAAAATCTTTTTCCCAAAAACTTTCCCCACCTTTACACCGTTCACAATATTTATGAAAACATGGGAAAATACATATTGTTGGGGTTGTATTGTCTCCAGACGGAAGTTTTTGTTTACAAACATCGCATTCTAACCCACACATTACACATAAATTTTAACAAAAATGTTTTTTAAATACTACAAGCTTAAACCTAAAAATTAAGAAAAAAATTATTTTAAGAGGATTTAAGAAAAGGAAGAACTCAAAGGGTATGGGGGGTAATTCCAAGGCTGGCCCCCCCTTTTTTTCCTTTATAGTTTTTTCGATTTTTTAAACTTTTTATGGCAAATTATATATCGTTCGAAAGAGCTCTTCAAGCTGAGTCGAACGGTACTAAATTCATCGAAATCCGACTTAAATAAACATAGTTATGAGCATTTGTTTTTATCCCTTTCAACATCACAAAAAGCATGTCCATCGAGGATTTAGCTTCATAATTCTGCTCAGAATCTCCAAATCAAACCGATCATAGTATCATTCTACTCAGCTCGAACAGCTCTTTCGAATGATATATTGTAAATTATATGTCAAGCAAAAAAGCTCAAAATGGTCAGGCGAACAGAAAAAAAGGGGGGGGGGCCAGCCTTGGAATTACCGTATGGGGACTTTATTGTTTTAATTCAAAAAAATGTTTTTATTGAGGAAAAGAACAATTAATAGTGAAAACAGTAACACATAAAAAAAGCAAAATTCCAAAAAAATTTCAGAAATGAAAATACAGTAGGCTTAAAATAAGAGATGAAATATCAAAAGCAAAACAGAATGCCAATTAAAAAAGAATTCAAAAAATAACGGTAGGAGTCAGTAGAGTAAGTATACAATTAGAGAACGAACACTAGAAAGCGGAAATTGTGATTGCGGGATCCCGCACGCGGGAGTAACAATTAAAAACGTCTGCGGGACGGGATCCCGCGGGAACTCCCGCAAATCGAAAAAAGCGCGGGATTGCGGGAGCGGTATCCCGCGCGGGATCCTGCCCCGCTCCGGGGTTGGGGTCGTTTTGGCGCGAGAACAAAAAGTGTTACTTAGGCGAGACCTAACTTCATAAAAATTTTCTCAAATTTCCTAAACAACCTTGACTACCTGCTCTAGAAATTTCAGAATTTTACATCAAATATTTCTGAAGTTATAATCGATAGACCTCGAAAAATTAGCCATTTTTCAGAAAATCAACATTTTTGGCCACAATTTCTGAAATTCTTGATCAAAAATTCTGAAATTTTTGGAGAACTTAGATAAAGGTACGAGAGTTATCATTGCAAAATTTTATCATTTTTGATAACGAACTCGCTATCTTATAAGCTCGCGACAAAACGCCCAGTCCCCCGCTCCGATCTTTCCCTTGAACAAAGGAATGTCGAGATCGATATTTTTCTCGAGGTATAATTCTCTCCTACGGATCTATTTGCTCCTAATATGTCTCTAATTATCATAACCCAACTCTAAAAATAATAAATATCCTACTCGATTTCTAGGAAAGGATAAAAGCAATTTTGCAAGAACCTTTCGGAAACTAACAATTATAAAGCAAAAAGGGGAACGCAATTATAAAAATAAATAAAATAATAAGCTAGCGTAATAAATTATTATTTTTTTATTCTGTTTGAAGGGTGTTTTGAAGCCAAAAACTAAGAAAAATTGAAGGGCAGCCTAATAAACGAATTTTTAGCGAGGGTCTTAATATTCTGTTGTATGCGAGGATAGCTAAAAGAAAGAGAAAAATTCTATACACTATTAGCTAGAGAACTAGGTAAAAATCAATTGGCGCACGCGCCTATAAAAATAGGGCGAGCATGTCATATGAACAGCATATGAGGGATGTGTGAGTGCTACTCGTGTGGATGGATGGGGGGATATTTTTTTGTGATGTGGATATATTTATTTAGACGTTGACTAATCCGGAGAGGATGAAACAAACAAACGAAGAATCTCTCAAATAACTGAGAGGTTGGGATGTGAATTGGGAGGGGGATGGAAATTGTAAAGAGATGGTAATTGGAGGTAGGAAGTTAAGGGGTAGGGATAAGTGGGAATGTAAGGGAGAGGAATAAGTAGGAGAGTACATATAGGAGACACTGACCATTTTGTACATCTAATACGGAATTCTCTACAGGATAGTTCTAAGGGCCTACACGACGGTTCTACCACAGGATGGTTCTAAGGGTCACTCGACTCACTTAATGAGCCTTATCGATATATTCACCCACTGACCATTTTGTACATCTAAAACAAAAAATTGGTGGGACAGAGGAGTGATACTACTGGACTTTCCACAAGATGATTTTAAGGGCAATTTGACTCGACTTGGATAGCTTCATCGATTTATTTACTCACTGACCATTTTGTACATCAAAACAAAAAAATTGAAGGGGAAATAAGTATCAGGCTCTAATGTACAGGTAAAAGGGGCACTTATTTTGTATAGGCCCTTATTTTGAAATATAAGTACCCCCCTCCTCTCTGTTTATTTTTTTGTCTAGTTTGAATGTCGGAGAGAGAGATAAAAAGAAAAGTGGGAGGAGAGAGGAGGGCTGGTGGTGACAGATGGTCTCGGTCACTTATTTCACAAAAAGGGAGTGAGGGGTTTATAATTAAAAGTGCACCCCTCCATAAATTTATTTTTATTTTGATGAATGTGTGTTTGTAAAGCACATGATTAACTGACAGGTTTTTTAGAGTTCCACTCAACAACTGCTAGCCTGTTTTACTCTTTTTTAGTATCCACAGCTCCCCATAGAGTTGAATCGATTTATCGATTTGTTAGATGTGTAGCGTAGGGGTGGTGACCTAGGGCAGGGAAAAAATTTTCCAATAAATCTATTTTATTGACTAGTTGTTGAGGGGAGGAGAAGGAAATGTCGAACTGACAAATGAGTCAGAAAAACGGATGAATAATGAAGAAAAACATTAAAAAAAATTTTTTTTAAATGTTTTTAAGAAGGAAAATTGAGAAAAATTATTTTTCAAAATTTTTATAAAATTTTTTTTTAATTTTAAAAAAATGGAGGGGGGTTGTTAGGGAGTGTTGGTAGTCTTGAGGTTTTTGTAGTCTTTAAAACTAACAATAAGTAATTATTGAAAAATACAAACAAAAAATTATTTGTAGGGAGAGCTACTTATTTTTTAAAGAATTAAATTGTATTTATTAAAATTGTATTATTGACCTTGAAAAATAGTAAACAGAATTTGTAGAAGAACCGGTTTATTTTTTAATTGACTCTTACAAAGGAAAAAAATTTTTATTAAAAATTTAAATCAGAATTTTTAATACACTAAAATACAAATCAGAAATTAAACTTTATTTGTGTTAAAATTCTGAAATGAACAGGAGAAATAAATCAGAATTAAAAAATCAGAATTCTGATTTTTAATAAAATATCAGAATTATATGCGTTTATATCAGGGGTGTGCCGAAACGGATTTTAAAAAGCGGAACGCGAAACGCGAAAGGCGAAATTAAATTTAAAAATTGAAACGCGAAACGCGAAATGTGAAAGTAATTTCAAAAAAGCGACACGCGAAACGCGGAACGCGAAAGTCCAAAAACGCGAAAATCCGCGAAAGGCGAAACGCGAAATTCTTAAAATTTTTCCGATATGTTGAGAAATCTCCAAAAATCTGTCAACTGAGTGCTTTGTTGCAAATCACAGCCTCAACTGACTCTTACAATCCCCATTAGGATTTCGATGGGCATCCTGGATATCAAGGGATTTGAGGAGAGCATCCTGGATATCAAGGGATTTAAGAGGGACACCGGAGTATTTGGGTAAATTCCGAAGGATATGGAGGATTTGAGTATGGTGAATTCGTAGCATATTGAGGATCTGGGGGAATATCGGGTGATAAACTTATGGCAAGGTCCTTCCTTTTTTTAGCGCCGCAGGCGAAAATTTTGAGAATTTTTGGAAGGCCAAGGAGCCAAATTTCTTCCTTTTTCAGCGCCGCAGGCGAAAATTTTGAGAATTTTGGAGGTTTTCAATTTATTTGGGCCATATTTTTTTCTCCAACTTAACCATCTTTAGGGGTGTATAAAACTTTCGCGTTTCGCGCAAAAAGCGAAACGCGGAACGCGAAATGTGAAAGTAGTTTCAAAAAAGCTACACGCGAAACGCGAAAGGCGAAAGTCCAAAAAACGCGAAAATCCGCGAAAGGCGAAACGCGGAACGCGAAACTGGCACACCCCTGGTTTATATGTATAAAAATCAGAAAAAAGAAATTCTGATAATAATTTCAAGTTGAATAATTAAAAAAATATAAATCAGAATTAAAATTTTATTAAAATCAGAACAGTTGTGTTTTAAATTTTAATTAAGAATACAAACCAGAATTAAAGTTTTATTACAAACCAGAATCCAGTTTTATTTAAAATCAGAATTTGTATTTTATTTAAAAAATCAGAATTTGTGTTTTATTTAAAATCAGAACTTGTGTTTTATTTAAAATCAGAATTTGTATTTTATTAAAAATCAGAATTTGTGTTTTATTAAAAAATCAGAATTTGTATTTTTTAATAAATGTTTATTTAAAAATAATAATAATTAAAATTCTGATTAAAAAATCAGAATTTGTATTTTTTAATAAATCAGAATTTGTATTTTATTAAAAAATCAGAATTTGTGTTTTACTAAAAAATCAGAATTTGTATTTTTTAATAAATCAGAATTTGTATTTTATTAAAAAATCAGAATTTGTGTTTTACTAAAAAATCAGAATTTGTATTTTATTAAAAATCAGAATTTGTGTTTTAAAACTTGAATAATTAAAAAATACAAACTACATAAAACACAAAATAATAATAATTTAATTGTATGTATTTTCTCCCTCATCAACTTCAGAATATTTTTCCTTTCAAGTTTCTTCTTAATCCTGGATTACTTTAAATGGCGGTTTCTGGAGCACAGGCTTTGGAGCAAGATTTTCATAGTTGGGTGGTGGAGCTTTGCATGATACAGAAATAATAATTATCATTAATATTATTGTTAATAAAATATTTATTTTCATTATTTTAATTTATTTTTTAAAATTTATTATTTTCCTATGTTCTGGTTTCCCCTTCCCTTATAAACCCGTTTAAAAAAGTACACCTCCATTGGGCCCAGGGTGGTCTATATTGGGCATATTATAAATGTTCTTTGGACAAAAATACAATAAAAATTTATTTGATTTATGCACTCTATGGGTAAAAAAATTTTTTTTTGTATGAAAAAAAATTTTTTCTTGCAAGAAAAAAATTTTTTCCAACAATAAAAAATTAAAACGTTTATTATTTTAAATAGACGTCTTCATTTTATTATTGTTGGAAAATAAATCCAACAATATATTTTTTAAAATAATTTTGGAAAAAATTTTTTTCTTACCCTATAGAGTGCAAAATAGAATAAAATTTTTTATTTTTTTTTTTGTATTTTTGTTTTTTTTTATTTTTGCCAACACAAAATGACACTTGGTCTCACGGTGTGTGTTTTTTAACGGTTTAAAAGCAAAGGGAAACCAGAACATAGGAAAATAATAAATTTTAACAAAAATGATAAAAATAAATATTTTATTAACAATATTATTAATGTTAATTATTATTTCTGAAGCTTGCAAAGCTCCACCACCCGACTATGGAAATTTTGATCCTGCTCCTGAAATTGTGAGACCACCATATAAATTAATTCCGCATGGAGAGACTGAAGAATAAAAATATTCTGAATTAAATGAGAAAAAAATACAATTTTGTGTTTTATGTAGAAAATAGTAGTTCTGATTTGTATTTTTAAATAAACTAAAACACAAATTCTGATTTGTATAAATAATAAAGCTTGAATTCTGTTTTGTATTTTTTAATTAAACTAAAATACATATTCTGCTTTTTAATTCTGATTTGTATTTTTATTTAACTAAAACACAAATTCTGATTTGTATAAATAATAAAACTAGAATTCTGATTTGTATTTTTAATTAAGGCGTAAAATACAAATTCTGATTTTTAATTCTGGTTTGTATTTTTTAATTAAACTAAAACACAAATTCTGATTTATAATTCTGTTTTGTATTTATTAAATTAAACTAAAACACAAATTCTGAATTGTATAAATAATAAAACTTGAATTCTGATTTGTATTTTTAATTAAACTAAAATACAAATTCTGATTTTTAATTCTGATTTATATTTTTTAAATTAAACCTTAAAACACAAATTCTGATTTTTAATTCTAATATGTATTTTTTAATTAAACTAGAACACAAATTCTGATTTTTAATTCTGATTTGTATTTTTTAAATTAAACTTTAAAACACAAATTCTGATTTATAATTCTGATTTGTATTTTTAATTAAACTAAAATACAAATTCTGATTTTTAATTCTGTTGTATTTTTTACTAAAATACATATTCTGATTTTTAATTCTGATTTGTATTTTTAATTAAACTAAAACACAAATTCTGATTTGTGATTGTAAAAGTATTATATTCCAATCAGAATTGTGAAGACATAAATATAAACCAGAATTTTAATTATAATTGTAAAAAACCAGAATAACAGAAATCAGTTTAGAAAAATCAGAATTTAAAAACCAGATTTATAAAATCAGAATTTTGACTAAAAAGAATTTTAAAAACCAGAATTTGTATTTTCACACAAAAGAATAAAATACAAAAAATACAAAACAGAACGTTTAAACAATAAGAAATTTAAAAAATTCTGATTTAATAAAAATTCCGATTTAAGGAAAATTCTGATTTAATAAAAATTCTGATTTATGGTTACCTATATTAAATCAAGTAAATAAATCAGAATTTATTCCATATTTAATTTCAGCATCAAATATAAAATTTATTTCCCTTATAAAATTATACAATATACATATATACTATTTAAATTTTAAAATTTATTCTTGCTGATAAAATAATTGATGGGTATCTGATCTAAATCCACCCCCAAATGATGCATGTTGAATAACCGAAGTATTATTACCGTTAAAAATAACATTTTCGGAAATATTTTTTTGTTTTTCCATTTTTTCGTTTTCAATTTTACAGTTGCTATTGTCGGTTGAATCCGGAGATGATTTTCTTTGTTGATTTTCGAATATAGCAGATCCTTCTGAGTCTTCCTCTCTTTTCTGGCAAACTAAAATTGATTTAATTTTTAATAATCCGTTGCAGGATGCCTTGGTTTGAGAAAAAAGTTGGGTTGGGGGTCTGAGGTAACTCTTGACTTCCCTGATTCGTTGTCAGGGAAGTCAAGCTGAACGTTATCTGGGTTAATGAATTAAGCCTAAATAATGTACTACTACCTCGATATCAGTTTCTAGTTTATTAGATTTCTGTATGTCCCTAGGAGGACACCTGTTGTGACTTAGTAATTATGGTTTGACCAACCCAATAGTTATCGTTAGTGAACGTAAAGGTAAAGCAGTAAATGGACCGTTAATGGATAGAAGCCACTACCTAATCACATCTTCTAACTCGGGTCGGGATTTCAAAATTTTCTTCGGATCGAGTTTCGGCTCAAAAAAGTCTGGGTTTCGGGCAAAAAGTTTGGGTTCGGGTATTCCGATTTATTCAATAATTAATATAGATAGAAGCATGTCTCGTTCCTTTAGAGCATTTACAGTATGTGTCTAGGTTAAGTTGACAGAATGACCCTGTGACTGGTCTGGGCTAACAGAATGACCTTAAGAAACCTTCATTAAAATTTAAATAAATTTTCTTTACACTGTCTTTGTTGTTCTCTAAGTTGGTGGTGCATACTAGCAGCGGCTGCTGCCTGAACCGCTGCTGCTAGAGACGCGGCTGCTGCTGTAGTTGTTGAGTTACACGAGGATACCAATTTATTGTCTAAAGTGTTCTGATATTGACTGTGTTGTATTTGATGGTGTGAAATTGGTGATTTTTGGTGCTGGTCAAGATCACTACTGCTGGCCATTTGTGAAAGTCCGGATATTACACGATTTGTACGAAATTGATTTCTGAAATACCAAAATATTATTTTTTTGAATTATTCTGATTTTATAATGTATTTTATGTATTTTATGGAATTTAATTTTGTAATTTTGATTTATTGCATGTGTTTTTAAATTTATATTTAATTAATTCTGATTTTATGTGTTTTATGTTTAATTCTGATTTTATGTATTTTACATTTAAATAATTCTGATTTTATATTGTGTTTTATATTTAATTAATTCTGATTTTATGTATTTTACATTTAAATAATTCTGATTTTATATTGTGTTTTATATTTAATTAATTCTGATTTTTGTGTTTTATGTTTAATTCTGATTTTATGTATTTCACATTTAAATAATTCTGATTTTATATTGTGTTTTATATTTAATTAATTCTGATTTTATAATGTGTTTTATATTTAATTAATTCTGATTTTTGTGTTTTATGTTTAATTCTGATTTTATGTATTTTACATTTAAATAATTCTGATTTTATATTGTGTTTTATATTTAATTAATTCTGATTTTATAATGTGTTTTATATTTAATTCTGATTTTATAATGTGTTTTATATTTAATTCTGATTATATATGTGTTTTATATTTAATTCTGATTTTATAATGTGTTTTATATTTAATTCTGATTTTATGATGTGTTCTATATTTAATTCTGATTTTATAATGTGTTTTATACTAATAAATTCTGATTTCTGAATTAATTTTATTCTGATACTAATTAATTCTGAAACCAGTATGTGTTTCAACCAATTTTTAATTAAAAATTCTGATTTTAATTTATTAATTCTGATTTAATATATTTTTTCTTTAAATATAATTTTTCCACCTTTTGTGTTTCTGCCGTTGATTACAAAACCAAACACGAACAACATTCTTTTTGAGATCAAGTTTTTCTGCTATAGCAGCTATACGATCACCTAAATTATCTTAAGATTTAATAAAAAATTAAAAAAAAATATTCTACCCGTAGGACGACTTTGTAATTTAAATTGTTCTTCTAATTCTGTTTTTTCTGGTGCAGCAATGGATGTTCTTTTACGTTTTTTCTCTGAACAGGGCAATATACCGGCGGAAGCTGCGGTAGCGGCAGCGATGCATTGAAGAGTTAAGGCATCTTTTGAAAAAATTCTATTGTTCTGATTTTTAATTCTGATATTTTTAAAGCTTCAACCAACTTTTAGTTCTGATTTTTATTTCTGAATTATTGTTCTGATTTTTGTTATGATTATTTTTCTGATTTTTAATCTTGATTTTTATTTCCGTTCTGATTTTAATTTCAGTTCCGATTTTTAATTCTGATTTCTGTTTCTGATTTTTAATTCTGATTTCTGATTTTTAATTCTGATTTCTGTTTCTGATTTTTAATTCTGATTTCTGTTTCTGATTTTCAATTCTGATTTCTGTTTCTGATTTTTAATTCTGATTTCGGTTTCTGATTTTTAATTCTGATTTCTGATTTTTAATTCTGATTTCTGTTTCTGATTTTTAATTCTGATTTCTGTTTCTGATTTTTAATTCTGATTTCTGTTTCTGATTTTTAATTCTGATTTCTGTTTCTGATTTTTAATTCTGATTTCTGATTTTTAATTCTGATTTCTGTTTCTGATTTTTAATTCTGATTTCTGTTTCTGATTTTCAATTCTGATTTCTGTTTCTGATTTTTAATTCTGATTTCTGTTTCTGATTTTTAATTCTGATTTCTGATTTTTAATTCTGATTTCTGTTTCTGATTTTTAATTCTGATTTCTGTTTCTGATTTTTAATTCTGATTTCTGTTTCTGATTTTTAATTCTGATTTCTGTTTCTGATTTTTAATTCTGATTTCTGTTTCTGATTTTTAATTCTGATTTCTGTTTCTGATTTTTAATTCTGATTTCTGATTTTTAATTCTGATTTCTGTTTCTGATTTTTAATTCTGATTTCTGTTTCTGATTTTTAATTCTGATTTCTGTTTCTGATTAATTCTGATTTCTGTTTCTGATTTTTAATTCTGATTTTTATTTCCGTTTCTGATTTTTAATTCTGATCTTTCAATAAAAATTCCTCACCTCCCCCCGCTCCCCCAACACCACCAGCTTCCACAGCAGCAGTAGCCACAGCCTGTTGTTTAGTTGCTTCCTCTGCCCGTTCTAACCAACTTTGCAGTATTGGTTTAAGGGCTACCATATTATTATGTGAAAGTGTCAGCGATTCAAATCGACAAATTGTAGATTGAGATAAGGACCCTACTCCAGCCATTTTTAGATAGGCCAAAGCTTTCCCTACATCTGCTTGAGTAACACCCAATTTTATTCTTCTTTGCTTAAAATGTTCGGCAAAATGTTGTAATTCCAATGGGTCCGTGTCAATTTCTTTAAATTTTATTTTTTAGATTTAATTTAAATAATTTTAGAATTTTTGAAGATTAAAATAAGGGAAAATTTAGGTTAAATAAATTCCGATTCTGATTTTTTATTTTTTTGTATTTTTAAAATTCTAATTTGTGTATTTTATAATTTTTAATTTATTCTGATTTGTATTTTTGTGTTTTTGTATTATTCTGATTTGTTTTATTTCAAGTTTTATTTGTTCTGATTTTTACAAATAGTAGAATTTAATAAATAAAACTTGAATAAATTCTGATTTTTTATTTGTTCTGATTACTTGTGTTTTATTTGTTTTTCTGATTTTTAAAATTCTGATTTTTCTTTTGTATTTTTATTTATTCTGATTTTTTATATACAAATAAATATGAATAAATTCTGATTTTTATTAATTCTGGTTATTTGTTCTGATTTGGTTTATTTCAAGTTTAATTATTCAAGTTTTAATTAAAGTTTTTCTGATTCTTATATTCTGATTCTAGCCAGTGTATTTATTCAAGTTTTATTTATTCTGATTTTTATGTAGGTATAAATAAAACTTGGATAAATTCTGATTTTTTATTTGTTCTGATTATTTGTATTTTATTTGTTTTTCTGGTTTCTAAAATTCTGATTTTTCTTTTATATTTTTAGTTGTTCTGATTTTTCAGTTTCTTCAAGTTTACAGTAAATTCTGATTTTTTTGCTAGTGAAGTTTAATTAATTTAAATTATTCTGATAATTATTCTGATTTATTTTAATTATTTTTACCAGCAATATTATTATTAGCATTTAAATTAGCCGTTGCCCCATATAATGTTGAGATTGCCGTTCCACTATTAAAACGTTGTTGATTTTGTTGGTGTTTTTGGGTATTTCTGTTGTTGCTAGAATTTGTTTCAACAATATTTGAAACATTTGGAAGGAGAAATGAATTTGTGGCGGGGGAGGTGTTCGATGCCAACAATGACTGAAAAATTAATTTTTTTTTTGAAAAAATAAATTTTTTTAAATTATTTATATTGAACTAGTTAAATTAAAATTAAGATACGATTGGATCTCTAATTTATATATCCTAGTGGTACTGAAAAATTGTTAATAAAATAGGGGGTCAGATGAGGTCGAGGACGTTGTGGATGGAGCTCCACACTAGCCAACTAAGAAAACGTATATAAATTAGAATGTGTGTATCAGGGTTCTATCCGACCCGATGTCTGATCCCTAGACCACGAATTAAAATTTTATTTGGGAATTTCTCGATCCGAAATCGAAATTTTATTTTTTTTATCAAGGATCCCTAGCAGAGATGGAGAATTTTCAATTTTAAAAAGCTAAACGCGGAAGCGGATCCATCCCTGGTCCCTAGTGTGTATCAGGAATGTGTACGGCACATTTTTAAAACGGAAGCCCATCCCTGGTGTAAATTAGGGGGAATGTAAATCCGAGTTTCTACCGTTTATTTAAAAATTAATTTATTAAATCAGCTTAATTATTTTTTTTTGTATTTTTTAAATTTTTAATCCCCTTTCAATTAACTACCATAATACAAGTAAAAATAAAAAAAAATAGTCAAAGACCGCCTTTCATCTTTTTTTCCCTATTTCATTCCTCCACATAGTCCCTTTTATGAACCCCAAATTCATTCGCTAATATACTCCCTAGGGTATCCAGAAATATTTGGCAATAGGGCGGCGGTTGGTTTATTTATTTTTTGAAACAGAAAAATTTTCCATAAACAGATTTATTACAGAAAAATTTAGGTAAATGAACGAATAAAGAGAATAAAAATTTTTTTTTTATTATTTTATGTTTGTAAAAGTCAATTAATTTTAGAAATGAATAAAAGGACCAAAAAAGGAAAAATTAAGCGGTTATTTTTATTGAGGATTTAGGTAGCCTATAATAAATGATTTATATCCTTATTTACTGGATGAGCAGCAAAATTCCTTTTTTAATACAAAAATTCGAGTGCTATATGTCCTAGAGAACGTCCAAGGCTCTTGGTTCTTAAGTACAGACTGAGGTTTGTACTTAAGACTTTTCCTGTTTGGACACCCAAGACTAGACCAAAAAAACCCAAGAAAAGTCTTGGAATCAAGACTCAAGACAAAAGTCTTGGACAGCTATATTCTCTAGTATTTCCTAAAATAAAGCCACATGTGGCTTTTTTTCCCTCAAAGCACTTACTTTTAGAGTGGGACTCTATTTAGTACTAGGCTTTATTCTAAAAAGGGTAATTTTGTTAATAAATTAAAAACTCCAATAATATTTTCAAAAATAATTTTTTTAATTTCAAAAATAAATTTAAGAAAAATTTTTTTCCCTCTATTCTCTTTGTGAGAAGAAATATGAAACGAATATTTAAAAGTGTTTTGTATGCCCTTAATATCCAAACAATAAAATGGGATATTTGGATGGGATAATAACCAACACAAATTTGTCAAAATTCCCACGATGAAGCCTCTATACAATTTAGGAAAAAATATTTTTTTTAATATACAAAACGATTTTTTAGGAATATACCCATACGGAAAAATTGAAAATTCTGAAGGCTGAAACAAGAAAGTTCGAATAATTCCAAATTTTTTTTCAAAATTTTTTTCATTTCAAGTAGGCTGTCTTTGCAGCTATTCAAGACTCTTAGTCCTAATTCTTCAATTATTTTCTTTTTTTGGAGTTTCCACGGTCTATGTCTCGATAGTTAGTCAACTTTCGTTCATGAAGCTAGAAATTTTCGGTCTAGGACAAACTTCAAGGCAGCTTTCGTCAAGTCGTGCCATTCGATTCTATCTTTTTTAGAGGTTCTTTTAGCACCCTCCCCCCATTTTCCATTATTTTATTAAAATATTTTTTTAAATATTTATCCAATAATAATCCTCTAAATCTAATAACTGCTTAGTTTTCGGGTTAAAAGGTCGCGGTAATTAACCAAAGAAAATTAACTTGGGGGGGGGGGGGGGGGGAGGAGGGGAGTGGATAATCTTTTTTCTCTTTTTTCTTAATTTTCAAGTCAATCAAAAACTCCGACATAAGGTAAAAAAAATTTTTTTTCTCGGTAACCGCGCAATGAAAAAAGAGGCAAAAATCAGGCAAAACCCTTTCTCACTCAAAAATATTTTTTTAATTATCCTTTCTTGAATAGCCTTTATTTTTAGTTTAAATTTAAGATGGATTGAAAGTTTATTTTTGTATGTGTTCATGGATGAGAGGGGTGAGGAGGAGGGAAAAGGAGAGAAGAAAGGAATACTTAACATCTGTTTTTCTTCATTAATATTATTTTTAGAAAATCAGAATTAAAGCAGAAAATCAGAATTAGAAAATCAAAAGTTCAGAAAACTCAGAAAAAAATCGGAAATAAAAATCAGAATTTCAGAAAATCAGAATTCAAAAAATCAGAATTTTAGAAAATCAGAATTTCAGAAAAATCAGAAATAAAATATCAGAAAATCAGAATTTCAAAAAAATCAGAAATAAAATATCAGAAAATCAGAATTTCAAAAAAATCAGAATTTCAGAAAAATCAGAAATAAAATATCAGAAAATCAGAATTTCAAAAAAATCAGAATTAAAAAAATCAGAATTTAAAAAATCAGAAACAAAAAACCATGATATCAGATAAATCATAAAAATCAGAAATAAAAAAATCAGAATTTCAGAAAATCAGAATTTTAATTAATCATTTTTGTTGCAAATTTACAAAATAGAAACACTAGCCTGTTGTTGCTGTTGGTGAGGAGAGTAATAATTGTGT